CGAACGTCATTTTTGCATTTAAACAAAAACTATAATCAGACAGACGTATTTACATTAGTTTCCTTTTTATTTACTTTTGGAGAATTTTCGGCTTTGATGAAATTTCTGCTTAATTTACTGCTCGAATATAGCACGTTTGTTTAAATTCTAATTAATGTAAAAAATGTAACAAGACAAGAAGAAGAGAAAGAGAAATATTTATTCCATTATTCATCAAAATTATAAAAAGTTTATTTCTTTATGCAACATGTTATGAATTATGAAAAGGATATTAGAAGTTCTTAATAATACAAGTATATCAAATATATTAATATACAAGTATATAATATTACTATTAATAATAATATATATACCCAGATAGGTAAGTCTGTAGAAAGCAGATTTTTTTTAAATGTCTGCTACACACTATGCCAACAAAATAACAACAAAATTAGATGTATCTAATACTATTGAAGACTACTAGAAAAAATGTAACAGAATCTGGAATCAGATAATGTCGGATCTACTCAGTTTTTGCCAACAATTTACCTTCACATTACATCGACAAGCGATGTTAACAGAACAGATAAGTCTAATGCGGACGTAGTTGATGGCAGACTACCATCATTTTCTGCTCGAATCTGCTGACAGTCTGCTAGAAAACTGCAGACATTTTGCTATCTAAGTATATAGTCTTTCTCTTTCTCTCTCTCTTTCTCTCTCTCCCTCTCTCTCTCTTCCTCCACACACACACACACACACACACACACACACACACACACACACACGCACGCACGCGCGCGCGCGCGCGCACACACACACACATGTATGTATATGTATATATACAAGTATATATATATATATATATATGTATATATTCGGAAAATCGAGGTCAATACTTCGGGAAGTAATTCGGGAACTAAAAAGAAGGAAAAAAGCTACATAAACCCGAAATTAAGTTCTTTCCGAGGACTCACTTTTGAGCTAATCACTTTTATGTTAAACAATTGAAATTTATTTTTCATTACAATAATAATTTATTTAATTACAATAATAATTTATTTCACAGTGTTTCAACATAAATAACGACATGTTTTATTAAAAAATTTTTTTTTTACTTTTTATTTTTTATTTTAACTTTCCGATATTTGTAAATACGGTTACTGCATTATTTTTAGATAAATATAAACAAGTTAAATAGAAATTAAATGAAATGTTCAAAATCACCTTCAGGCCCTTATTTTTCTATCAAATGAATTCCGAACTCTTTGAAAAACATTTGGATCCCTCCTTATTTCTTCGAATCCATTACTCTTTATCTTAAATCAGCAATATTATTAGCCAGAGATCATTTGAATCGAAATTATGGCCAAAGATAGATAAGGTATGGAGGTTCGATTGCCTGGCCTTCATGTCATGATCACCAAATATGAATCCATTTTCATCTATGAGATCATGTAAATTCAATAATTTATAGAAATGCGCTCAATAATTGCTGACTTAAGATATTATGATTGTAATTTTACGTTACGTATACTGTAGATTTTCAATACTGGCAGTATATATCGCAATACGCTTCAAATGAGCATCTTACAATTCTTATTTTGTCATTTTGGAAATATATATTAATAACATATATTAAATATATTTAGTAACATATAAAATTAACAATAATTATATATAATGGCATAAGATATTGTTAGTAATCTTGTCATTCCATTATTTTAATTGGTTTACATATTATTATAAACTAGCTATTGACTAGGAAGTAGCGCGAGAATTTCTTTAAGTGGATGCTGGAGTAGCCAAATCGTCGGGATTTTGCAGATCGATATAAATATTCGAATTTATTGAATAGAATAAAAAATTCTTTTACAGGCTTAAAGTAGATGCAAAATTTGGGAGTACTGCAATAGACTTTATATTAAAGTCAGAAAAAAACTTACATTTTTTTCAACTCGTAGAACTGTCACCTGACGTAAATGTTTCCATAATACAAAAGTTTTATAGCTCGTATGGACTAAAAGATAGTGCAACACTCAGCACATTACATGCACAAACAATACCGAGTTTACAAAAGAGTGAAAGATTTATATCGATCTGCAAATGACGTGTATATGAATGTTAAGCAAAGACTTGGAATAAACAGAGCAATAATTTTATCTAGCAATAGGTATTCGATTTTCTAAGAAACGTTGCAATATGTTAGATAAGGACAGATGAATGTATTTGAGCGAGACACAATGATATACAGAATCTCAGAACTCGTACTATCAGTTATCAACGTATTCAAATTGTGAAATTCTAAAACGAAAAGCTCTACCAAAAAGCGATTCAATAAGTAGAATTTGAATGATGAGATATTGAAGTTGACGAATGGGCGCGCGTGGAATTTGCGCGATCAAGATCGACACTACCGAGACTGGCACGAGGCACTTCAAAGTTAGATCGTGTCAAAGTGTATTTCTCATTACTCTTTATTTAATTAAATTAATTAGTTAAAAATTATTTAAAATACCTCAAATGTTGTATTTTTGTCTTAAAAGTTTAAAAATTGTTTAAAAGAGCCGCAAATAATTTAAAAACAATAAAAAGTATTTATAAAACGTTAATATTGTTTAACGAATATTAAAGAGGGTAACAAACATCAAAATTATGTAGCAATTATGTTTTAATTATTTAAAAAAGTTTATTATTGCTT